GGAAGTATTTTTAAATGGACAAATATAATGGATAGGAGCTATCTCTTTTCTGAGACGGAAGGTCAAAATTCTTCTACCGCGGCTAAACAGAAGAGATGCTAGGATAAAATCCATGCGTGAAATGATTGTAGAGTTTAAGAAAAAAACTTAAAGCACCTGATAGGTTAATAGAGGTTTCAGTTTTCAGAGGAAAAGTTTTCAGGATTTCCGTTAGATTTAATTGCTCATTCTATGAAAAATAGTAACACCAGTAAATTCAGGACCGTGTATTCAGAAAAAATTAAAGAATTTGCACTCACTGTCTATTTTACAGTCCTAAGGCATACAAATACAGAGACAAAGACAATTGTTAATTGCGATATTGATGACTGTGAAGAAAGCGATGTAATTGACTTTCAAAGAGTGGTATCTGCGGAAACTGGATCATACTACAAGAATAATGTATTATATTATATGTCTGGTTTTATTGTTAGAAAAAATATTAGGTACCTACAGTAACATGTGAAGAATGTGTTAGTCTTTTGACAGCTGACGAATGCAATTTAAGTAGCTACACCTATATGTTTAACGTTGACTTTGCAGAGGACACACACGAAATTAAGCTGATAAAATTAATCGGAAATTTGTTTTTTGAAATAATTTGCTACAGTCATGCTAAAGAGTAAACCATTGCACTGTCAAAATTTGATATTCCTCAAAAGCTAACAAAATTAGTACTTTTTAATCATGCGTGAAATGTAGGCTACTTCTGTGTGGTACTGTATTCAAATACAGTAAATGGTTTTTATACAACTGTGTTGCTGTATTTTTATTGTTTAATTTATCAACCTTTTTATAAAACCCCCAACCCAAACCATCAAAGCAATTTTTTTTAATACAAATACTATGTTATCGCCCAACTTTATAATAATGTAAATACACGTTGTACTGTATAGCAATTAATTGATTACTAACTTATATACTTTCGGTTTTTAATATAACTATATAAGTGAGTCAAAATATCCCCCGATGAACATTTTTCGTGAATCAATAGTTAAAATACGGTAAACAAATGCTATCACAGCGTCAGTTCGATGTAAAACCCAAGCACCGTGCGGGTTTCTTGCCCCTTTCTTGCCCCTACCCGACGCCTTCAAGTGCAGAACGCAACCACTGATTTCGGCTCGGGCTAGCGAGCTCAGCCAGCAATCCAGTAGTAGTTATATATCGATGCGCAGCACATGTCCAACTCCGCGCAGTGGTCAATTTTGGCTCTCACAGCCCTGACGGCTGAGAGTTGGTGTTTGAACTTTGAAATTGTGTTATACGTTATGTTATGTTTATCATTTATAGGAAAGGAAAAGGGATAAGATATACCTAAAACAGGAGATGAAGCTTAAAAACCACTAATATAAGGAGTTTTAAAAAGTCCGTGAGAAAGAGTGACTGTGAATTTATACGTTCCAAATTCTACAATAGTCAATCATTCATATTACTGGGCTTTGAGCTCTCTGAACTTTAGTACCAAGTTCAATATTAGTTTTGTATACAACCGCAGATTGCTATAACAAATTAGCTGTAATCTCTGTTTCATACAACAGTTAGCTACACTCCTCAAATTGGAAAAAATGGCTGACAAACGTCTATTTTTTTATGACTTGCAATACAAAATTATTATATATCAATACTTAAAGCAGTATATGAATTTTAATAAAACTTCAGACTTCAAAATTGACTTTATATTTAATTACTCTACGTACAAAATGTTCAAGGCAAGTGAGCCAAAATTGGTGGTTTTGATCAAACATTAATAAGAGTCCTATAACACAGATTTGCATCAAATTAATCATCGTTAACATAAACATCGTGTATATTATTTACAAAACAAACAACAAAAAAAGAACAATCCATTTAAATATCTGGACTAAAAATAAAATACAAATTATTAGCCTACTAAAATTGTATTGGTAAAATCATTTACAAATTTACAAAAGTTACACTTATTTCAAACCTTAATAAATTTAAATTAATATTTTAAATTTAAAATAAACAATAATTATAAGCTTTAAAATGCGAAGCAATATTAACCTTAGTAAAACATTGTAACTTACAATTATAAATATTTTAAAAATCACAGTACCGGTAAGTAATATCTTATTAATTTTCCAGGAAAACTAAATCACATTATTGTCACACCCCAAAAACAAACTTATACTTTAAATTTGATTACAAAAAGAATTTTTAAATGTTTCCTTTGTTAAATGTTATTGGAAGAGATTATTAAGTTTTGTTATTTTTTTAAAAGTCCATTGTAGCCACTTTTAGATGCAGAGCTAATTTTGTTTACAAAAAAATAGATTACAGCAAATTTGCAGTATATTGCTGTATAAACAGGTAAAATCCGTGATCACAGCACACAAGTGTAACGTAAAGCTCATGAAATCGTTAATAAGATGTATTAGCATATTAAATAATTTTGAACTGTGAATTTCAGAAACTTTCATACGTATCCACTCTTCGCACGGACTTTTTGAACTTCTTACATAGTGGTTTTTAAGTTTCACCTCCTGTTGTGAATCTATAATTTTGCTTGTACAATAAGCTAAAATATTTCTTTTACGTCTTATTAAATGGCGAATTTGACGTCTATGAAGAGGATTTTCATTGAAGCCAGACCCAGACCAACGTTTTAGCGAATTTCCCATACAGGGAATAAGTTATTACCGTAGGTATTATGGTAAGACCTGGGACCCACTGATTTAATTTTTCGCTCTTATGTTCCAAATGCCGAAAACACCATCCTTTCGAATTCATATAAATATATATATATGTCCGTTAGCACGATAATTCGAGCAAAAATGATCCAATTTTGATTAAAATTTATATGAACGTCAAACCAACATTTATTTGAACGAATTCACGAACCAGCACGATCGGACCATGGAAACTGCAGTTTATGGAAAAATCGAGTTTTCCCAATTTTTACCCCAAGAGCATACATTTTTGCAATTTCTTTTGAAAGCAATTTGAAGAGCTTAAAGACAAATAATTTAGTATATCGAAGTGTTATTATGCGCCATAATGGTTACAGAAAAAATGCCAACAAATTTTAATTTTATAATTCCCATGTTATTCTTATGGAGAATAAGTAAATCGTTGTAATTTCCTGTGAAAGGAGCGTACTTTGATTAAATTTGGAAATAAATGCATTTATTTTACACACAACTATTGTCATTTCACAAAAAAAAAAACACTTATTACCCTGCCTCTTGCAGCAAACCTATGTGCACTCATTAAACTAATGCTATTTAAAAAGGGAATAAATAGTATATTATGAAAGATATATTTTACTGGTAATGCAATCAGGCAAATGGAAGTTTGCTTAGTCTGCAGTTTTGCTGCGGCGGGGGTATTATTTTAATAACAGCAGCACTCTTTTTGAAACTTCAACTCACGTCCATGCAAATGTTCTGTAGCCTTTGTTTTGGTAAAAACTTTTCCAAAACAACTACCGTAGATATTAAGAGTGGCCACCGCGCGGAGTTAGACTTGACACTAAAAGTGACCACCGCGCGGAGTTGGGCTGAACCCTTCGGGGGCCATAAAACTTTTCCTCGGATTAAATTTGACCACTGCGCGGAGTTGGGCAATCCCCTGCCACACAGAACCCTTTTCCCAGACATTCCATGACGCAGTCACGACAAGTCTGAGGTCTCCAATTGCCAGGTCACCCACCTGTGTTGCTCTACTATCGCACCTGATGAGTTAGCTAATCGTCGCTCTTACTTTCGTTGCCACTTTCGTCTCACGACACCGCAGATTCGCGGGGGTTTTAGTTGCTAAACGTCACTTTTCCCGCTAATTTCCCTACTCTTGGCCTCCAAGGCTGCATGTAGGTCTCGACTGCATCTCGACCACCGCATTCCCTGTGTTACCACTAATGTTTGTTTTTACTTTTGCCAACTTTCCGTTTCCACTTTCTCTCGGCTTTATTATAACTTTTACTATCAGAAGATATTGTGGGTTGAGGTTGATTGCATCCCAGTGCAACGTTTACGTCTGCTAGTAAAAGGCGGAACATGTTTTGATATTTAATGGCTGATGTCAGCATTGTGAGTAGTACGAGGATGCATGTACCAGCAGTAATCAAATGTATTGAATTTATATGAAACTAAAATAGTAGGGAACTTACGACTTGTGTTCAATGTTTATGTATTGTTAATAAAGCAACAGAACCGGTTTACTTTGTAATAAACTTGTACTTTTCTATACAAAATAGTTTTGGAAGTAAAACTTTCAAAAATAGAAAGGTTTAATCAATTAATATATTCAAAATTATTATTCAGAGAGGTGAAAAGCCAAACTTTAAGCAAACGCTAAACCTATTTCAGTACATATGAAACAGCTGTAAATAGCGTGTGTAATACAAAGACTCTCTTTCAGTCTGTTTGACCCTGAGAAAAGATCAACTGGGTCGAACGAGGACAGAGAGTAAGTACAGTAGAGCAGAGAGGCACGACGTTTGGCGAGCGCACATGTTAAGGTGACCTCAGATCCACTGTTCCCGGCTAACCCTTGTTCCGCTGTTCCTTGTTCCCGCGATTTGCAAGTATGATCAGCATCTGGGGTCATCCCACATCCTATCTGCAGTCTACAATTAGAACGCAACCTGCTTTGTCCCCTGGCGCTGTTTGTTGTGTTGACATGTGGTATTGGGAGGTACCAAGAATATTTGTGTTATTTAGATTTCCCGAAGATATGATCTTGGTGGATAAATAGACAATGGTTTGAAAAAGGCGTATTTTGCAAGTTTATGTGAGCAGGGTATCATGGGTAGAACCTGACAAAAATAAATCTTCCCATAACAGAGTTGCTTATGAGGTTCAAGTAGTTATGCACTGAGTTATACTGTTTAGTGACAGCGTATTATTCTGGAGCTTGACATACTTGCAGTTCAATATGATCTTAAACGGTGAACTTTTACAATTGGACTTTCATTGGTGGAAATGTAATTTACTCACCAGGCAGGTATATACCGGACATGAGCAGTTTCTCTGAGACTTCGGCGATGCAGCGAGGCGGCAGAATCACTTCGGTCCTCACTGGAACACAAACACAGTTGTCAAAACAAACAAAAACACAGCACTAGAAGTGGCAAATAAAAACATAACCCACTTAGATGTAGTGAGGAAATCATTGCTTATTTATATTTCTGTAAAAATAGTATATCTGTCAATTACACATTTTAACATCATGTAATATTTTGTGGTTAGTAGCTTTGACTACAACACACAGCACTAGAAGTGGCAAAAAACACCACCCACTTAGATGCAGTGAGGAAATCATTGCTTATCATATTGCTGTAAAATAGTAAATCTGTAATATTTTGTGGTTAGTAGTTTTGTTACTGTCTATGATTGGATTTTTATAGGATCAATTGTTAAAATCCTAATGATGATTGAGTGTTTGGCTCAGTTTTCTCTTTTGAAACATATACAAATCAAACAGAGTCTACTTTTTGACTTACACTAATAATATTAAGACTGGACTCGATCTAGACCAGAAGCTAACTAACCACCCATACAATCCAACTCGTATAAACCATCAATCCCCATGCCTGACTGAGTACCTCCTCAACGCAGAACTCAGCACACTTGGCATTCAGCCGTGCAGGCCTGAGGCCTAACTCCGTAACACCTGAACACACACGGCCTGATCCCTGTAATTTGCGGTGATGTGGCGATACCCACTGGCCTAAGGCCTGGCTCAGACTGAGGATAACGTTATTGAATGATTCCAGACACCGAGATACTATTGTCAAGCTGCGCCACGGTGCTGATATGACAAAACTTGAGTTACACGCTACACCAGTCATTATTGTGAAAGCAGGGTGGTCCGGAGTAGTTCTGCATTTCTGGGTCAGTAGTGGAGTGATTTTATGTAGGTTTTGAAATTGAGAAGTGAAGTATGTTGAATCATCCTAAAAGATGATTTTTACAAAGTCCTAAAACAGCCTCAGTCCAGTAGTTTCAGCTCACGGGACTGGAACATCACGAGAAAGATGAACGACAACTTTTTGAATCACATGAGGATGGTAAGATGACGACAGTCAAGGAGTTTAAGTTTAGAATTGTAGAATGGTTACTTAAAGATATATTTTGTTCAAGAGTAAAAAGACCCACGACTGATTGAGCAATTTGCAATATGTATGCAATATTATTGCATTGCTAGTACGCACAGAAAATATTATAACTGATTATGTTTTTAAGCAAACATCAGCCTATTTGAGATTTTACCTCTAACGAGGTGTTAGCCCGTCCTACGTACGGGAATTCAGTAGTCAGTTAAAAGCGTGTACAATTCAGATCAGCTAGTTTACACATATTAAGACAAAGTTTCTTGCAGTTTTAATGTGAAAAATCATCTTGTAAACAAATGTTGTGTGACCAAATATGTTTTTATTCCATCATAGGCCTATACGATATGCATTTTAAATCCGATAATTTTACAATAAAACAGCAATTCTGCAATTTTTACGATGTGAAAAGCGTTGAAGTGAGATTTGTAGCCGATTCACACAGAAGCACACTGATTATAAGTAGCCTACAGTAGAGAGAGTAATTAATAGCACAGCCACCTCTATGTGGTAATAGTCAATTGAGAAGTGTATAGACCTAGTCAACGATACCACCTTCCATAGCATACCTGCCTCTTCAATAATTATTATCACCACAATAGAACTACTATACACCATTTCCAGTAGGTCTGAATAGAAACGACCTAAAATAAAACGATAATATCCAATAAAATTCACAGTACACATAAATCGTCACACCTATCCTCTATTTCAATTTCACTGCATTTATTGCTAAATAAATAAGTGTAAACAAAGAAAAGTAAAAACAATAACAGTTTGTTTTGAAACAGCTAAATCAAATCTATTTCATGAGTTAGGGTCCAACGGAGGCGTATTTTCACTCAAATATGAATGTAAGATGAGAACTTCGTTGTAAGTTTAGTTCTAATAGCTAGGCGATCTTTTGATTGTTAAGTGAACTCTACAACTCTGACCAGTCGTTAACTCTGAGGAGTTGTAGACTGTTTTCAACTTAAACAATCTATACGACAGACAATACTCAGGTATATACTACATAGGAATGTATAGTGGTAATTGTATGCAACTAGATCGGAATGCAGGTGGACACCGTGGGCGGTTGATGCTGGTAGTCTATTAGAATGTAAACTGGAGCTTGATTTTAATAAAACCTCATTACAAACATAACCGGCTGTAGGCGAGGCCCATTTATGAATATTTAACACGAGCTGAGGCTTGTCAGCTGATACAGGCCTTGGTTACAACTAGATGTTGCTCGAAATCGATGGTCAATTTGTACCTTATCGGTAATCGAACATGGTTACAACTCCTAATTTCAATACTTGATTGTGAATGTACAACATAAAATTTATCGAAATTCAAATAAAAGCACAATTTACATGAGCTAAACTCACGTGATGGGAAGTTGCAGTTGTTTCGTGACTTAAATTATTCCAAATCTTTCGACTCATTTTGATGTCTTTAGGTAAAGTTTGACGGATAATATTTCAATTTAGAAAAAAAAGCTGCTATTACAACCATCTAATTCAGTATTGTGGTTTTGGAAGCAGCTGATTACTGCAAACATTCTAAGTTCCAAATTTTTATATAAAATTTTCAGACCAACCAGGATGTAATTCAATCTACATGCAGGATATTGATTTAAATTACTCTTCTAACTCATGATATCGATCCGACGATCCACGTGTATACTTGTTAAATAGTACGTGTGAAGTTTCCCCTTAAGTTTTAGAGGGTTCCTTAATGAAAAGGTTAAAGGTTTACAAAGATATTACAGATACTTGTCAAATTTAAATTACTTCTCTTACAAAACTAGAAACCGTTACACCAACTTATGTACCGTGACTCACAGAAATGAAACTAATCAAACCAATCAAATTACATGTATAAATATTCCAACTATAAAGTACACTGTATAATCCTGTGCAGCGCAGGGGGGTCGTGAGTTATTATAGTCACAACAAACCTTTTAACCGCAAGACCTCGACCCCCTGCAAAGGTACCGAGAGCTCATAAAAAGCAACATTTGTTTATGAATTACTCATGAGCGTGCGCAACAGATGATTGCTGCGTTGTTGTAGAGGTACAGGTGTGTCATAATCAGCTGTTCTGCAACAGCCAGCTGGGATGATCTGGATTGTTGAACGGGACTTCAAAAATACTATACAAGATCATGATGAACATGAAGTTATGTAAAAAATCAAGATTAAGCTTATTTTAGAGACTATGAAAGTACTCTAGGTATCTTGACGCTAGACAAAGATTTAAAAAATAGTATCCAGTCCTTATAGTGAACATAATATTTCTCATAAACAATGAAAACTAGTGTTTTCCGTAGTTAAAAACACCACAGGACAGTTTGAGCCCCCTTAAATATAATTTACCGGAAAATCATTTAAGTTAAATGTATACACAACGATACAATTAATTGTTATTAAAATCGAAAAAAAAAATAGAGGGAGAACTTCTCAAAATGAGCCCCCAGGAAATTACAATATTAGTTATTAACAATATATTTTGGATACTTTTATTCGGCATACGTTTTGCAGATTCCAATTTAAATGTTAAAAGTTTATGTTAAATCAACAAAACGTTGGTTAAAAAAACTTTCCATTCAAACAGATTTTTCATAAAAATTAAAAATGCGTGAATATTCTATACTAAAAATTAGGATAAACGTTATTTACAACAAAATATAAACATGGAACATATTACTGTACACTAATTTTAATGTTTCTTACAAGTTCGGTCAAACTGTATTTGTCTAATAAACGGACACTGTACAACTCCTACTGGCACATATGGCCGTTGCGCCCTTCCAATTAATCTCTCTATTTGCCAGGTACAGGAGACAAATCACTCGACCACATAATAGTTTGCGGCTCATATAACACGCAATGTGTACAGTGTAGGGTCCTTGATTACAGCAAGGTGAAGACAACAATGGAACAGCTGTTATACAGCTGGCGGTAAACATCTGACACGTCACGTGATCAAACAGCTGATCTCAACCTAACCTCACCTCGCAGCTTCGCACGTGTTTATTACACGTCTAAATATATGGACTAGCTGTCAATTAGGCGGGAACGAGCTGGCGGGAAAGCCGGCTTCATTGAATCTAAATTATTAACAGTTCCAATTAGTTTTAATTCCTTCGCGCACACTTAGGCTTACTGGCGACTAGGGTTTAAATCAATTTAAAAGATTAATTTGAAAATAGTCTACATATGATTTATTGATTTTAATTGAATTAAGTGGGGATTTTGTGAATGAGAAATGTATTGAAATTGTAAAAAGGTTTAAATAAGAGGTATTTTTTATTTTGAGAAATCCATTTTATTTTAACACGTTTTATGCGATACAATGCCATTTAAGATTTAAGAAAATGTTGTATAAAAACATTTGCTTTTTCCACGTTGTAGCAGATTTTAGAACAAAACAACTTACTGTTAAATTGAACCAACGTCAGATGGAGCTTTATAAAAATACTTGCAAATTTCTTAAACACGGTATTTTCAATCATTCGGACAGCAAGGGCTGCTTTTTGTATTCTTAAGCTACATTTAAGATCCTACTTATTTATTTATATGTACTTTGAACCTTATTTGTGTAGTAGCTGGTCTGTTGTCATTGCTGTTGCAGATTGAAGGTTCCAAATGCATTGTGGTGTTAAAAGGAACATAAATATTCTTATTCTTACCATCAACTATCATAGATCATACGATGGACAACAGTGGAACACTTAGTTAGGGATCGTTCAGTTTTTTTTTATTTATTCACGGCATAATCACCATTTTTACAATCAATTACATGCATAACAATTTGTGGATTATAATAGTATTAAAATGCAGTGAGCTTTTACATCGTGCTATATGGTCATGATTTATAAATAGGTTCAGCTATAGGTTATAGGTTATGTTCAGCTATGTTCTCTTTGGGGTAAACGAAATCTGGCTGGATCTGTTCTTTAAGATAGTTTGTATACTT